ACAACAGTATTAATATCTAACAAAACATTACAGACACCCAAATAGATGTTTTTTACACAGGGGACATGTCCACATCTATTTACAGACGGCTGATTTTCCATATTCAAAAGCACAACTTGTGAAACCTGTTGTGAAAAACAATGTTCACCAAGACAATTTGACTCACAAATGGGAAGATACAAATACATATAAATATAGAATAAACTAAATATTGTATGTCAGAGGTTGTCCCTCACGTGACAAACAGGCACGCATTTCAGTTTAAAATATCTTTGGATTATCGACTGTGTTAAAGAATTCTAATGATTTAATCGACATGCAGCACAAGCATTTCACCCATCTTAATATCATGCAGGCTAGGGGAAGGCGGTGGTTAAATAACAACTTTTAAAGTATAGTACTCTCTCCGTACTTGGTCCATTCTGGGAGTTGAACCGGTGTCCCTCCAGCTCCTTTGTTAAGTCCCTACAGACTGAGACACCCTCTGCTAGCAGCTAGGTTAGCCACTTGCTAACACGCTGCAATCATCTACTCAAAACTCCCCTTACATAACTTACGTAAACTCCCATATGTTAAAGACTGTATATATGTTTTATTTATCTGAGCCCCTATGTCCCTACCCAAAATAAATATTGAAAGAAAGGCACACAAAAAACAAAAGGTTACAAAAGATATTCTGCTCATTGTTTTCTGGGAGACAATGATATGAACAACTCTATGTGAGATCACACATCTCAGCAGATCTCACAAAATAATGTCCATTTAGTTTTCACTGACCTCACTTGACAGTGGTTCGACCTTGATGTCACAAAGTGTAGCAGAAGCTCCATTATAATAAACACCGAGTCCAGCATAGAGCGGCTGAGTGAATGTGGTCTGCACTCTGTGGAGGAGGGTGATGGTTTCAGAGACGCTGTGGAAGGAGAGAACTCCTGCCTTTTGATCCAAGAAAACACCAATCCTTGAGGATTGGAGGAGAGGGATTTTTTTTTTTATATGGTTGTGTTTGAAATTACAATTAGTTTTACTAAACTCTAGTGCCCAAGACTGGTCATTGTCCCCGAATACACTTTTCCCCTCTGTTCTGGGAACATCTCTGTATGCGACTGCTACTGAACCTCCTAAACCACTCCACTCCACTTCCCAGTAACAACGATTAGTCAGACCTTCTCCACACAGAACCTGAGACCTAGCCATGAATCTGTCGACATGTGGATCATATGACTGTTGCTCTTTCACTCTGTCTGTGTGCTGATTGTATGGCTTTGAGGTTGCCTTCTTGTTATCTTCAGATAATTGTATCTGCATGCTCGCTGTGTTTGGATCCAGTTTGAGAAGATATTTGGGGGCTGCATATTTGTAAAATTCAGCTTTGGTCCGGGGGTCTGGCAAAAATGTAACATCCACTTCAGTCACTGTCTCTGAGATCTTCATCCATTCCTTATTAAATCTCTCCAGTACTTTACCTCTGGCCTTTGACACAGCTGCTGTCACATCATCAAAGTATCGTACAGGACCAGTATTTAATCTGAATGGTTTTTTAGCGTCCCTGAGATCTGACAGTGAGGGGTAGGCCTGTAGAAACTTAATCTGATCATCTGTTTGTGAGAGTTTCTCCAGCTCAGTGTCTTTCCTCCTCAGATCTTTGATGTCTTTCTGCAGCATCTCCTGAATCTCTTTGACCTGACTCACTTCATATTCCTGCTGGGATATAATCTTCTGCTTCAAATCAGAGCTTCTTTGCTCAATGAGTTTGACTAACTCAGTACTTTCCCTCACTGCTTCATCAGCAGAGAGATTGATGGCCTTCACCTCCGGCAGAAGCAGCTTCAAATCTTTCCCTCTCTTCAGGATTCTCTGCTGGATATTTTGCCGACTCACCCCGAGCTCTTTCTTCTTCTTGCTCATTTCTGCTGCAGCTGAAACTGTGTTGTGTTCTTTATGTTCACCAATGGAGCAGAAACTACAGATAACCTGCTGATCGGTGCGGCAGAAAATTTCCATTACCTTATCATGTTGAGAGCAGATGTTCTCCTGGAAATTCGAGGCTTCAATTAGCTTGTGTTTCTTGTATGGAACTTCATAGTGAGGCTGGAGGTGCTGCTCGCAGAAAGAGAACTGACACTGCAGACAGGACTTTAGAGCTTTCCTCTTTCTCCCTGGAGGACTGCAGACCTCACATACCACATCTCCAGGTTCAGCATAACAGGCATCAGATGGACCAGCTTGGGGTTCTGTCATCTTCTTCTTTTTCATTTCTTCCACTAAACATGTCAAAACGTTTTTTTTTACCAGGGCAGGCCTTGGTTCAAAGGTCTTAATGCACTGAGGACAGCTATATATTTTTCTTCTGCTCCACTCTATCCCAACGTCTAATAGTAAAGCTCAAACAGTAGCGGTGTCCACAGGCAATAATCACTGGATCCTTCATCAGATCCTTGTAGATAAAACAGAACATCCTTGACCGGGCTGATGTCTTTGCAGCGCCATGTCACCTCTCACTGCCTCTGAATATCGAGCATGAGACTAACGATATACCAAGTGGGAGTGGTTTCCATAGTGCTTTATTCCAGAGAGAGGTGTTTGTCTTCCTACTACCATCTATAAAGGGCCACACCCCAGGTGCTTTCAGAGGCCTATGTTTTATACTTTGTTCTTACTAATTTCTATGAACATTTACCAACTTTGATTATTAATATATATTATTAGTATTAGACAAGAAGTGGATAGATCAGTGAGTGAATTGAATTAGAGAAGAATAACATTTCTGTTGAAATGGTCTGCTTAACATCAATGTTGTGATCATGGTGATGTTAAGTCTGGTTAACGTCAGTGTTGTTCACATTGAGTTTTTCATGAATCTTTGAAGAACTAAGTTGAACCAATGCTGCTTTGTCGATTTCCTGATATAAGCCTCTCCCATTGTAATACACATTTACTAAATCTGATTAAATGTATTATATCGTTTTTATTACAAAATCTTCACTATACGTATCAACAGGAGGCACATGTCGAGATTGTCAGAATGATGGTGAAAGCCCCAAAGTTGTTAAATCAAATGCAATATTTTCTAACATAACATTTTAAATGCATTGTATATGTCTTCTTCATACTTTGCA